CTGTGCAAGTAGAAAGCCACCAGACACACTGCCTCCGCTCTGTAATTCTGTCTGCGTGGAATGCCTGCTCTCTGTTCATTTTTCATGGCCCTACTGCCCTCTCCCATGGGGCTGGTACTTCATCTGTTCTTTCTAGATTATATACAGCACCACGTTATAGTCAATGACTGAGTATCTATGTCCACTGAGTATCTGAAACCATGAGGCCCCCTTCTACCAGTTCCTTTCTGTATCCCTAGCAGGGGCTTACATGGCCTGCCCCTCAAAGCAGCTGTTCATTAGCCATGACTAAAGTAAGGCAGCAGTTAGGTCACTTGACTCAGGTTACAAAATTAGAAAGTGGTGAAAAGCAAGGACCTACAACCAAGATTGCCCAGCAAAGCTTTCATTTAGAATCGAAGGACAGATAAAGAGCTTCCCAGACAAGAAAAAGCTAAAAGGAATTCAACACCAAACCAGTATTATAAGAAATGTTAAGAGAGACTTCTATTTAAGAAGGAAAAAGATAATATGAATAAAATGGCAATAACGATATATCTATCAACAATTACTTTAGATGTAAATGGATTAAATACTCCAATCGAAAATAGGGTAGCTGAATAGATAAGAAAATAAGACCCTTACATACGCTCCCTACAAGAAACCTACTTCAGATCTAAAGACGCACACACTGAAAGAGATGGGAAGATATTTCATGAAAATAGAAACAAAAAAGCTAGGGTAGCTACACGTATACCAGACAAAATAGACTTTAAAACAAAGGCTATAACAAGACAAAAAATCTCACTTCTGAGTATTTATCCAAAGAAATACTAACACTACTTCCAAGGGACATATGAATCCATACGTTCATTGCAGCATTTACTATTTACAATAGCCAAGATATGGAACTAACCTGGGTGTCCTCAGTGGATGAATGGACAAGATGGTACATATATACAATGGAATACTACTCAGCCATAAAGAAAGAATGAAACCTTGCCATCTGCAACAAGGATGAACCTGGAGGGTATTGTGCTGAGTAGAGTAAGTCAGACGGAGAAAGACAAATGCCATATGATTTCACTTATACGTAGAATTAAAAAAAAAAATCCATATCCAGTGGCATTAGACCCTTCAATCAGATGCTAGTCCCATCTTATGATATGATATCTATGAAGAGTAATTTCTATCATGAAAAATGTCTTAAGAAGAAAATTATGCCATAGGAATTTTTTCTGTTTTGAAAACCATATACCTGGGGATCATTCCTTAAATAAGGAATTGGCCAAAAGGAAAAAAAAAATTCGTTAGTGAGTGGACAGTGTGAGGGATCTCATTACCTGCACTCACAGCCGTATCCCAAAACATTCAGTTTGACCTCTCACCTCAGAAACCTTCTGGGGTTTCCTCACTGATCTCTATTTAATGTCCTCACCATGCAGCTGTCCACCTCTTAGGAGAAAAAAAAGTGGCTGACACAGATTTGAACTCAGGTTGGTCTGATCCTAAAACCTGTGCTCTTCTTTTTTTTTTTTTTTACCATATCATGCATGTTTAATATTTTGTTATTTATATATGACTATATATACATTTTGATTAAATTTACTGGGGGTAACACTGGTTAATAACAGCATGTGAGCATATAATTATATAAATTATATATATAAATTTTGATTGAATTTATTGAGAGTAACATTGGTTAATAACATCATATGAATTTCAGCTGTGAGACTTTGTGATGCAACATCTGTATACCCTATTTTGTGCCCACCATCTGAAGTCTAGTCTACCTCCATCACCATCTATTCAACCCCCTTTACCCTCCTGTTGTCTGTGTCTCTGAGGGGTTTTTTTTTTGCTTATTTTTATGTTTATTTTGTTCATTCATTTGTTGCTTTTTGTTTTACATCCTACATATGAGTCAAATCATATGGTTCTTGTCCTTTTCCATCTGACTTATTTTGCTTAGCATAATACTCTCAAGATCCATCTATATTGTTGCAAATGACAATATTTCTTTTTTTATGGCAGAGTTGCATTCCACTGTTAATACGTACCACATCTCCTTTATCCAATCTTCCATCGAAGAACACTTGGGTTGTTTCCATGTCTTGGCTATTGCAAATAATGCTGCAGTGAATATAGGGGTACATATATCTTTATGGGTGTTTTCAAATTTTGGGGGGTAGATACCTAGAAGAGGGATTACTAGGTCTCATGGCAGCTCTATTAATTTTTTGAGGAAACTGCATACTGTTTTCCATAGTGGCTGCACCAATTAACGTTCCCACTAGTAGTGCACGAGGGTTCCCTTTTCTTCACATCCTCTCCAACACATGTTATTGCTCGTCTTATTGATAATTCTTAACAGATGTGAGGTGGTATCTCATCGTGGTATTGATTTGCACTTTCCTTATAACTAGTTATGTTGAGCATTTTTTTCATATATCTGTTGGCCACCTGTATGTCTTTGAAAAAATATCCGTTCAGGTCCTCTGACCATTATTTTATCAGATTTTTCATTTTGTTGAGTTCTATGAGTTCTTTATATATTTTGGATATTAGCCCTTTATCGGGGGTATTGTTTGCAAATATCTTCTCCCATTTTGTTGGCTGCCTTTTTGTTTTGTTGATGGTTTTTGTTTGTTTGTTTTTGCTGTGCAGAAGCTTTCTAGTTTGATGTAGTCCCATTCATTTGTTTTTGCTTTTCCTTCCTTTGCCTTTGGGGTCAAGTTCACAATAATTCCTCTGAGACCAAGGTCCATTAGTTTAGTGCTCCCATGTTACCTTGGTTGTTCTGCCTGAGGTAGTGAGCTGTTTTCTTGTTTAGATACTGCTTTCAACAATTCAGAAGTTGATAGGCTGGGTACTTTTTTGTTTTCCAGTACATGGTATTGTAGTGCAGGTTTTTGTTTTCTCACCTATTTACACCTCTGGGATCACAGCGGAGCGGCATCTTTAGTTAAGGAAAAGGCTGCACATCCGCTGGGATGCGGGGTGTACCTTGTGACCAGCTCACCTCAGATACAGGGCACTACCACTGTGGTGGGGGTATGTGGCAGGTGGTAGAGACTAGTTTCTGAGCTCCTAGCACTACCTCCTTTTTACTAATGGTCAGTGGCCCTACTGTGTTTCTGAGGTGTCTCTGTTACCTCTACTAGGCTGTTAGGATGGTGGGACAGGGCAGGCAAGTTGATGATTTCACAGCCCCTCTGTACTGTTGTGTTTTTTTTAAATGTTTTATTTTTATAACTTCCTGCTTTTTTTTGTCTTTATTGAAATATAATAGACAACTAGTTGCTTGCATTTACATTGTACAATTCAATGAGTTTTTTTCAATTATAGTTGGCATACAACACAGCGTCAGCTGTACAGCATATTGATCAGAGATCCACACAACTCAAAAGCGCTCACCCCACCAAATCTAGCACCCCTTCTCCCCTCGACAATCATTCCAATATTATTAACCATCTTCCGCATGCTGTACTCTACATCCCCATGTCTACTTTGCAACCATCCACCTGCACCTCTCAATCTCTTTGCCTTCTCTTCCCCCCAACGCCCCTCCCGTCTAGTATCCCTCAAAATATTCTCTGTATCCATGAGTTTATTTCCACTTTTGTTATTGTTGTTGATTTTGTTCTTTAGATTCCTCATGTAAGTGAAATCATGCGATATTTGTCTTTCTCTATCTGACCCATTTCATTCAACTCTAGATCCCTCAAGGCAATATCTTTTTTCATCCCCTTCCTTTTAGTCTATGTATCTCTTTTAATCTGAAATGAGTCTCTTGTAGGCAGCATATGGAGGGGTCTTGTTTTCTTATTTTTTCAATCACTCTATCTTTTGGTTGGAGCACTTAATTCTTTTCCATTCGAGGTACTCGTGGATAGGAATGTAATTATCACCATTCTTTATTCCTGTTTTTGATACATGTTTTTTTCTTAAAGAAGTTCCTCCAACATTTCCTATAATACTGGCTTGTTGAAGACAAATTCCTTTAGCTCATTTTTGTCTGGGAAGCTCTTTATCTGTCCTTCAACTCTAAATGATAGCTTTTCTGGATAAAGTATTCTTGGTTGTAGATCCTGGGTTGTCATCATGGGAAAT